AAACCTTAACTTCTATTCATTGATGAAGCTCTGGAGATGAACGTTTGAAGATAACCATCACCTCAAAAATATAAATAGCCTCTGTCGGCCGCATATGGGCGACAAATGAGATCCCCGGTGGAGTAGAGAGCTGGCCAGACGTTCGTATAGCCTGCCAAACTCCAGAGGCGTCACTCGGGCATAATGCGTGAAATTCCGAGTGTTGCACACTGCCATGTACTCGTCGAACGTTCGCAGCCGTGATTCCAGAAATGGAACATGCTCGGCTCGAACGTATGGCCTTCGTCCCTCGCTCTGGGTTGCTTCATAGGCGCGCTCCAACTCCACCAAAGAATCCAGTGCCTCGAGAGCTTGTCGCAGATCCATATCTTGAAAGAACTGAATGTTTCTTAGGATTACTTAATGATTTATCTGTTGCTTACAGAATCGGCGACTTCTACTACTACAACATTGACGAATCTTACGCACTACTATTGAAAAAAGGTGAGTTTCTATCTCTGGTCCTCTGTTTCTCTCCTGATAACAGGGTTCCGTTTTCTCTCTAATGAATTCATCAAATTAAGTAGGATTTCTTAAATCATTTTTACTGCATTTTTTCAGCCCGTGTGTCTTCAAATGCCAAATCATGAAGGCCTTGGTCATTCAACCTGATTGTTTGCTTTTGATGTGAATATGGATATGAATTTATCATGCGTGTGCATGAACGTGTGCTTGACGAGTTCACATGGTATGCGTCCGACTTTCGGGTTTCTTTGGCCATGAGCCCCTCATGTGCATTTGTTTTGATCTGATTCTGCCCCTGCCATCCCATCAACAGTGTCTGCGATCAAATTTTTGTGTATTTCATGTTTCTACCTGACGCTTCTTTGCTTCTCGAGTTGATTACACTTTATGTCCCAGGAATTCCCATAAAAAGGCTAGTTGTCAGTGAGTCCTGATTTCTATTCATCGTAGCGTTTTTTCCTGGAATCCAGAAACACGGGAACGGCGTATACGAGTAAATCACGAGTTTTTGGTACTTCATGTGATGACTATATGTGAATCGGCACTATTTCACCCATTCGTGACATGTCCACTTCGGACCGTCCACCATATGCAGTGGACGGGTTTTTGATGAAATCTTTAGAAACAGTCGCGAATGGGTTAAACGTTATTTTGGTTCATGGTTTTCTTTCAAACGTTTAACGTTATGTTGAAATCTCAAATTTTGTTTACTGGGTCTCTTTAATGTCTCTTTAATCGGGTTGCTTCTTGTGTTTGTCTACCTGTTGTTGGTCTATGTTAAAGAGTTTATCACTTATCGTTGTTAATAAAGGCGTTTTCTGAACTCGAGTTTACCTGTCGATTGAAGCACCACATTTCATGTAGACCCCGTCATCGTAGACATTCATGCCTATTTTCGGTTCAGGATTACCTGTTGTGGACATCTATTAAGGCCCCGTCACCATTTGGAGGAGTCATGCTCTCACCTCACACCACTCCCCAAGAGGAAATAAGTATGGGGTGGGACTAGAAGCTAAATTCAGTATTACCGCCACGGTACCGTAACCCAAAGGCGCCCAGTTGATTGTAACTCCGCAGTGGACGTACGTATAACACCGAACTTTACGCCGGTACCACTACGGGAATTGTGCGGAAATGCTTAATATACTGCAGTGTTCGAAGGGTGGACGGGAATTTCGTGCACATTTCACTTATGAATTCTTCATTCCGACATAGAAGACGAATCTTTGGATATGCGCAGATCGTATAGGGAATGGTGCAACGTCACAACGTCTTTTAGCTATATTCCATTTGCGAGAACAAATACATTAATGTAAAGAGCCCGATTTATTTTAGCTAACTACAGCGAAATTCTTTACAAGTGCTGTTCCAACTTATCATATGATGTTCCCTTGTATGGTGATTGCAAAAGGGAAAGACGCCTATCACAATAATAAAAGGGGGAGCGATCTGATCAGTGAGTGTTTTGGTGAGGCTCCATTTGGCGCCAGCTTGGTGCAATCAGGTTCGCACGCTTCTGGTGCCATGATAAGCTCGGATCAGTTCGCTAAGACGGTTCTTAGATGGGAGAGGTAATCCTGGGTCTTGAGTATAAGCACGACTCGGTTATTAGTGCTGAAATGAAACTTCAGGGTCAGCATCGTGACTGGACTAAATATCGTGTAGTTCACTGCGGACGGTTGGGCGGGTCAGTACGGCTGGTTGGGCGCAGGTGTCAAAATCCTAAGCAGTGGGCCAAAGTTGACAGTATGCTAGTTCGTATCATTCGACGATTACTCGTTTTACCCTTTTGTGGTCGCCAATGGCGATTAAACAGAAGGAAAGATGGCTTTGATGGTGACACTGCTACTGGATGACACGCCCCAACGTCCACAGGAACTAGAGTGTGTGATAATGTGAGTTTTATTGATGGCAAGTTTTTAATCATAAGTTACGAAGTCATGTTCGGGTGGCGTTAGCAGGAGGAGAAAAGAGCTGCAAGGGCAGTTCCCGTCCCTCAAATTTTTGCTCTCTATTAGAGATGTTCATATTTTCAACTAGGTTTTTGAGTCGAGAACAACTTATAAATATAGAATAAAATTTAATTAATAAAAATAGTATTATTCTCCAGTTTGAAAGCTCGAGTTCTACAGTTGTGACGCGACAACTAAGTACAGTACAACTTATACACCTTTCAGACGATGGGGCTAATAAAGTCGACGCGGTACACCTCAATTACTGTTTTTTTGTCGAGCTTTCGAAGCCCTTTCTCTATTCAACACTGTAAGCTCAAGCGTCAGCACAGCTATTGCGTGAGCAAGGGTTATAGAAAGAGTAGTCAGCATTTCTTAGTCGAAGATGCGCTCACAAAAACGGGAAAAATACTTTTCTTTCACTTTGTGAAGGAATTCGTGCGGTAGTTCAGCGGCCGGGCTGATGTTTTTTCACGACCATGCAGAAGTCGATTTAAAGGGCGCTGCTATGGGTTACGGTACCGTGGCGGTAATACTGAAGTTAGCTTCTTGTTGGGGTGGGTTGCATAATTGGCCTAGCGTACACACCCATCTTATAGGTAAAAAGAGAACGAGTGTCTTTTTTCACATAAAGGAGAACACTGCTTGAATCTCTTTCTACCCTAGAGCATAATGCCAATGACCACTGACGCCCTACGCGACCGCGCCGCATAGACAGGTTGTGATGTAAATAACATCGTATGGGAGATGAAAGTAACCAAATGAATCATGTCTGCAGCGACCACTGTCGAAAAGCTTTGCGGGACCCATATCCGAAAAGAAGGGTCTTTCATTCGCAAGAAATCTAACCGCACGATTGTGACAGCTAGTCCCTTTTCTCAGTCGTGCATAATTACTGCTGCCACTTTTCTCCTCTTCTACATCTGCATCAGATCTCGCTTCTTTTCTTCATGTTCAAAGTCAAACCCCATGCCTCTTCAGTGTCGCCGAGTGTCAGCATAGTTCAACAATAAGAGCGCGTTCAGACTTCGCGATCGCGCGATCCGGATGAAATTACACCGGGAGGGAGTCGTGTTCGTTCATGTTTATTGTTCCTGCTCTTTTTTCCCTTTCCTTCTTTCTTCCTTTGTGTACATAACGCCCTCCTAATTTTAAGGAACGTTTCGAAATATCTTTGAGTTATTTATTATTTCCTATGTAAAATAGTACTAAATATACAATATGCTAATTATTATAAATTGGCATCTGCCATGAGTACGTTGGTCAAGCGGGAGGTATATGAATAGTCTTTGTTGCCATAAAGTAAGGCACGCAGAACTCTCACAGTCGAGTGATGTGTGTTCGCGTCCCTTCCTCCGATTTTGCCAGTCTCATATATATATACCTGTTGTCAGCTTGTGGCTTTGCTTTTGTTGTTCTGCGTCCTCAGGTCTAATAGACGAACCTTGGTCTTTTCGACGGTTTTTACAAATTCGTCAGTATTCGCGAATGTATGAAACGGGCCTAAAGACATCGAGAGAAAGAGACTTATATATTCGTTTTTGAAACTGCCTATTGGAAGGCAGGATATAGCGCGCGTTCTACAGTCCCTGGAGAGGCAATTTTGCAACAATTTTGGGCCGGCCGCCAGTATTCGTTGCGGGACAGTGCGTCGCTAAGCTCCGCTTGCCACGACGGTGCCATGCAGTCCTCGATTAATCGATTGTTATCACAATTACGACTCGGACGTTAACTCATGTAAAACTACGCACATGAGTATTAGCTCGAACTAGATATTTCTCAAGGCGGCACTCGCTTGGGTGGACACGCCGGGGTTTTTGCGTTTTGCAAAGTGCGAGACATTTTGCAAAAAATCCTGTGGAACTTACCTATGGGCCGGTTCACGTTAATATTTAACTGTTATGGCGCTAACATATAGAGTTATGGATTCCGGTCAACACACACAGCGCAACGGACTAAACATACAAGACCTTATGCCGTGTCTGTTGCTTCCTCGCGTCCCCCATGTTCCTCGTCATCTTGCCGAAGGGTAATGTAGTGGCAGGGGGCGACACCTACGTACGCACTGTGTGTTGCTGTGAGTCAATTCCTCGCTCGCTGTCTAGCAATATAATATCCTTCTTCGCAACAGTAATTCGAACAGTTTCACCAGGATAAAAAAAAATACTAAGTTGATCATCATTGATGGGGCTCTGAATCTTGGTGAGTGTCCTTCATAATCATTCTAATAATGAATCGAAGTAAGGAATAGCGCCGCATACCCGAAAAGTGGATTATCCTTGTACACCATCGCCTTCAACTCCTTTCATACCCTCGCTTTACACGACTGCAGCTCGAGGTGCTCCCTCTCCAGAGCTGATACGAATATCGGGAAGTCGCAACTATGTCTCGTACATCGAATGCATCGAGGCGCCTAATACAAGGGATAATCAAAGAAAGCCACTACGATTCTGAATGGAAGTTCAATACGTCTCGCATTATAAAAAGTGTTGATCAATGGCAAAAGCTTTATCCTCTATTCGAAAAAATGTATTTACTATTGCAATGCGTGTACCGATGTCCAAGGAACGGCCAAGAATAGCATCGTGTGCCAATGACCCAGCTCCGTTAGGTGTTCGTGGCCTTTGTGGACAAATTAACTAACAGGACATCTCAGTGGCCCGCGCCAGTGACGTTCAGAAAATACAGGAATTTACAAATGTGCCCAGTATGATGACAGACTTGCTTGTCCCCAGTCCCATTTGAAAGGCAATTTCAGGCGCAGTTCGGGGAAAGACATTTGCACCTCTCTCTTCTCCACCAGTTCCTTCCAGATCATGCCTGGTTTCTACGAGCTTCGCCCTGTATGTCAGTTTCGTGCTGTCCCAGGATCACAGGTACTGCACGATGCCCCGGCCGCGTCGATGGAAGCAGCAAAAGAGCAACTTTGTCCCCCCCCCCTCGCCGGCGCCGAACTGCGCCCGATTTTATCTTGAAATCGTATCAAATTAGTAATAATCCACTTTAGGCACCGTTCACAGCCTGCGATAAAGACGAGATGTAGAACGTATCGACTGGGGCAGGGCAGAGCTAGCGACGTAGGGTCCCGCAACGAATACCTGGCGCCGGCCCCAAATTGTTGGCAAATTGCCTCTGCCAGGGGGTAGGAATCAATAGCGGCAGGATACAGCATCGTGATGTGAGAAATGGTGATATCAGTACGACTCCCTTCCCAGAACTTTGTTGTTGTTTGTTGAGTTGAGTTGAACATGAACGAACATGACCCCCTCCCGGTGTAATTTCACCCACAGTAGCGCGATCGCGAAGTCTGAACGCGCTCTTAGCTTTGGGATAGATTTTTGTTCCAAATACTGGTTTACCATCATGCGGATAAAGTGTAGGCAGGTAATTCATTTGCGATGTACAGTCCTTACCGCTGCAAGTGAAAGGGTATGTGGTTGGGATAATTAAGATCGCAGCCAGGGCAGCTTTTCCACCCAGTGATGTTATCCTCAGCCTGCAACAACTGGCGAAGAAAAGTACCCTGCCTGTACTCCGATCCGGGCCCCATTTGCACGGATAATGGTTGCACCATCCAAAGAAGAGCTGAAGCCATACGACAAAATAGCGCCCTATATTGTTGTGACTTCTCGTTGTAAGCATTTCATTCTGAAAAGCGGCTTCCCAAAGCTGAGCTAGTTGAGCAGGGACACACGGCAGCTCCTCTTCGCTATCCGAGCCTTAGGCTCAAGGCGCTATCGACCAGGGTAGCACATAGATATGTCAGGTGAAGGACATTGTTGTCAAAGCGACATAAGACGAGAGAGCATGCTGCGAGACTAGGATGGACTTTTTTCAGGGAGAGCTGCTTTGGGTGGGCCACTAACCATTGAAAAGGCTGGAATCCATCAAGGTGGTCACAGAAGGTCAGAGGTTAGAGTGCAGAGAAGACCACAGAACTGAGTAGCCGCCGGTGACTCTAGCTGTCTGCGTCTAAGCCGACCCTTGGTCAGGGAAAGGGTTACAGCCGCTGCCGCGTGGCCCCACTCAATTATACTTTAGTTCGCTGCGGACAATTGGGCGTGTCAGGCAGTATGAGTGTGTCACGCCGTCAAAGCCGTTCTCTGCCTTCTTGTTGAAGCGCGCATGCGACAAAGTGGTAGAAAACGAGTAATACGAACGATATGATACAGTCATATCACTTGCTCGCTTTAACAACTGGTGGAGAACGGGTTTGGCACCGCGCCAAACTCATCCCGCCTGACTAGTCCAACCGTCCGCAGCAAACCCCACTTATATGTACGCTGGCATGGCTCCCTATTAACTTTTGTCATTTTGCTCATGGATTTGTAGAGGAAACGTTCTAAGCTCACCCGGCGACTGTCCTTTTTTTATACTTTTCAAATAAACCATCAGTTCTTCACAGTGCATCAATTTACCGGTCGTTTTAATCAAGGCAAGCTGCCTACAAAAGCTTATCGTGAGGTGTGGTGCAAGAGATACTGTTTTAAGAAATGGCCGCGAGGAGTATCCGTGTTGGTGAACAGTGCACTTTGGAGGAGGATCTGCACACAGAGTTTAGAATGGATTTCAAGTTCTCTTCTATGGAAATCCATATGGTCATGTGGACAAGAACGCTTCTGACGTTTCTGTGAAGCCTGCAAGCAAGTAAGTGACAAGAGATTTGTCTGTTTGTATGTCGTAAGTAATACCATGCATGCTGTTGAGATTCAGTGGCAACTTCTTTTCTATTTGAGTATTTCCCTAGAGGTCTTTTTGAAAAAATAAAGTCATTCTAACTCGTTTAGGTGACCTTTACTTAAAGTTCCAAAGGTGTCACTTTAACGACATCATATCTTATCACTTTTGGAAATCAACGCTCTAAGCAGAGCCTGCATTTGAAGCGTGAGAATTGATGATTCTTTCTCTTATAAACATGCTGCTTATCGGATTTTACAGCTCGTTAGTCACTTTCTCTGTTCACCAACCATACATGTCCATAGTCACAACCCTCTATCTTTCTTTCTGGATGATCGTGTTTTACAATTGCTCCGACGCGGCTGTTAATGAGTTTCCTCCCTCCCCTTTCATAGGCCGCTTTAATTAAAGCCTATATGCCTTCTCGAGTTTTTGTCACTTCCATCAGTATCCGGTCCTCAACCCCTACATGCCTTCTTGGAACCAAGGTCCTACAACCGCTGTGGCGTGCGTTATGAATTTGCTGACTTTGCCCTTATAAGGCAAGTTTAAACACTAACTCTTATCTTACGCTTATCGCTTTCGTTGCGACTACCAAAAGTGTTCCCTTGTCCGAACCTCCCAATTTTATTGGGCTATCAGTTCTTGATGTGCTCAAATGGCTATTTGAAGGACAGTTATGACATTTCCTAATTTATAGCTACACTCTAACAGACTGCCACACGCACACCCTCAGCTTTACAATCATTCCATTCTGACACAACACATTTCACATGCATCACACGACACACACACACACACACACCAGCACAGCACATCACAGTTTCATCACACACACCACAGCATTCCACACAGCAACACACAGCACACCACACACCAGAGCAAAACTTTAGTGGATTATCATTAGTATGGCTTTGTGTAACATGCCCGTCATAAATTGCTTTGGTTTATGATCGCCTAGCGCGAATCAAATTACAGATTATAATGAGTAAAGTGATTGCCAGTGTCTTATAGCGTCATTTTTATAGGTTTGCTTACATCGGCCGCGCGACGGAACGCGCCCCATCGAGCTCGCTGACACGAAGCCACGCATGAACTCTGGTTGTCTGTGCTTTGACAGGGCTGATTCTGGAGAGCGAAAAGTTTCTCAGTATCGCAGCACTCGGTCTATCTGAAGTAGCGCCAGTCTTCATCGGAACGAGGGCAAACTTTTGTATGGAATGAGTTCGAATTCGATCACCTCATCCTTTGGGTTTTTTGTTGTAGAACTTGGGTTAGCATCATTATATCCCAGTCGATCTCAGTACGCATGTTGTACGCGGAACCGTCAGCAGTGATCTTGAACGTTCAAAGATAATAGAAGCCTCCGAAATGACCTTATTCGCCAAGAGAGGCGAAAGTACACCCAAGCTTTAAAGCCCGAAGTATTTTGTCTACTAGTATTTGATATTGATCACGCTTGGTCCGGCCTCTTTTTAAATTGTCAAAGAAGCCCTGAGGGCAAGGCATTTTTGTTTAGGCTGGTTTTCGGATTTTTGGCCGAATTGAAGTGTTTCTGGGATTTTCTTGTGTTCTCAGCATAGCACGCACTGCGTTTGAAAAGGATTGTATCATCTTTGAACTTCATCCACGATCAGCAAGGTCAGCCGGCTCCGTACATCGGCTTTTGCCGCCCTCGAGAAAATCGTCGCTTCGCTTTCTCCAGCAAGCCTCACTAGGTGACGCCGGTAGCGCTGTACTGGTAGAATAATGGAGTCAAGTCGAGCTCGCGTGGAAGACGTGTTCACAGTATAGGCAAGACCCAGGGTGTGGTAGGAGAAATGTGGTCCTCGCGCGGTACTAGACGGGAAGCACAAGCAAAACAGCGCAACCACGTCTATCGTCATTTTTGGGCCAATGCGCAGAATAGTTCGGAGATTATTTTATTACATGAATGCGTGGATTTCCGGCTAAAGCACACTTCCCATGATTTTTGGGATTGTTCCGAAGCCCCATCCGGTGCCAAAACCGGGCCACTCAGGAAAAGTTCAGCAGATATTTAGATGGCCAGTCTACCTTGGAGCTGAATGGCGCGCCTATCTGGTTGGAACACACAGTTTGGGCTCGATCTAAGACTGAGAAAGTTGGGCAGCTGTCCACACCGTGGAGGGATGTAGCGTGTGCGCTGACGGTCTCTTCCTTCATTTACTGTCACCTGTTACAGTGGATAATTCTTTCATGCTTTGTTGTGCTCCTTCCACCCCTTCTCTTATCTCATAAGAACCGTCGCGTTTAGCTTTTTTATTCGCTGGTTATGTTGTAGTAGCTGCTTTTGACATATTGTTGGAAAGTGTCGGTTGGGACAGGGCTTAAGGGTTCACGTGTGATCTATGTAGAATCAAACTGGATGTTGATACTTCCCTATAATCCAAAAAATATAGTTTCCGTTTAGAACCATATCCGCATTTCTGAACACAGAGGGTGGCAACATCTACGTCGGCATTGACAGTTATGGAACTATTCGAGGCGTTCGTCTGACAGCCAGTTTGGTGAGTATTGAGAATTATTGCTTCTTTATTTCAGTCACTGATTGCGTTGTCAAAGGTTTTATTCAATAGTACTTGTATGTAAGTATGTTTGTGCAGGCCGCATCATCTGCCGTACCCCTGCCCTGCAAAGCAACGCATGGCTAGCGTTGCTCTGTGACCTTCCAGCAAATGGGCTAGTGATCTAGTGGGGGGGGGGGTGGTAGGGGGCGGTGGATACTTACCCACGACGCCACGACGCGCTTTTTCCAGTATGAATGCATCCTAACTCCAAAAACCACTAGCGCAGTATGATCAGTAGTGACACTTTCTTGTGGAATTTGACATTTTCCTTCACTAATGCTAGTATTTTAGTGCACTTTAGTTTGTTCTACTCAATTCCACTTTTCACTGTAAAAGCTAGAAGAGTGGGTTCATGAGATCTTCAAACTATGTTAATGGTTGGTTTATTTAATTTAAGGCCGTGAGGTCGATGCTGTAGGGGTTATTAACTGAGCTGGCATGGGACACCCAAGTGAACTCGCTGTTAGATATCAGCGATGAGCACGCACACTCCTTTCCGCTTCCAGGTGTATGAATTCTTGCTGCAGTCTGTCTCTACACGAGCTTCAATCGCCTAATGTGAAATTTCATTTGTCGCTGGGTTTCTATCAAAATATTTTAGCCGTCTGGTTGGCTTGGCCTCATAAATTGAGGATCATAATATGGTTAGATGGACGTTTGCAGTCTTTTTGCCCATGAAGTGGATGCTGTGCAGAAGTAGTGGATTCAGCACAGTTGTGTAGATTTTGGGAGCTGTTTCAGAAGGAGCACTTCTTCCTTTCGTTGAGCTACTGCATTTCACAGTTCAAACCTGCTGTTCCACCGGACCTCGTTAAAGGTAGGATTCAGATTATTGCTCTTATCTCTACTTCGTTATTGTCTGGGTTTTGTGTATCCCAGAAATTGGAGCAATGAGTCCGTAGCTGCGTACTTCATCCAAACGTGGCGGCAGCTGCGGAGGGATATTGAAGTTTCAGAACAGCTGTAAATATGACTATGTCAAGGAAGTGTAGGATAACACTTGTATAAAATGGAAATAATCCATGAAAAGTGCATCCTCCGCAATGTTTAAGTAGCCAAGCCCGCTAAAACGCTGGGATGTTGTTGAGTGTACAGCACTTTGCTGAAATTAGCTTCGGTCTCAAAAATGCTAACTTATGGGTCGTAATAAAACAGCTTCAAAAACTGCAATACGATTGCTACAGTTGTTAGTGGTCTCCCATAGGCCACATTTCTGGAAATCCCCAACCTTTTGCACTCTTTCTCTTCGGAACTATAAACTGTAGATTCATTCACAGAATTTCTGATCGTGGAAGCTATCAACTAGCGCTGTTATCCATGTTCCCAGGCTTTCGTTTCGATTTTTCGATACTGTTGCTATGAGCTCCTTACAAATTTTGCCAAAAAAAAATCAGGAAGTTGATTCTCGTGCACGTACTGAAATCGTTTCCTATTTTTCCGTCCACATTGCCTAGTTCACCGTTTTCAGTACATTTCATTGAGTTGGACAATACGACATTGCTTGAACATGAAGAAAACAATAGTATGTCACAGCAAGTGGAAGACGTCGGGCACGATTACGATAGTACTGCCGAATCTGAAACGGATGTATGCGAAAATTACTGCTTGACTTGAATAGACTTCAAGACACATCTGATTTGGACTCATTGTCTTTATTTTCAGAAAGGTCCCACTCATCACACCATCGGCAGCACAAGTTGTCTGTGCGAAGATACTGTAGAAACTATGGAGTCTAAACTCTACTTAGCTGTCGTTCAGGTTAGCAGTTTCAGCTGCGTCTAATCAAAAAAAAATAACAAGTTTGCAAGTGAGCATTGGTTCCCTAGCTGGAATCGAAGGGTAGGGACAAGAAAATCCTAATATGCCGCGCCAGTGGCGTGACGAGCGGCGCCGCTTCTGGCGGATGAGTTGTGCTGCCTGGCCGTTTGAAGTTGGGTCGTTAAAGAGACGGGAAAGTTTGACTTTGCGCACCATGAAATCTTATCTTCGCTTAAAATCATATGCGTTTCACTGCTTTGATCGGCAAACTAATGCCCATCGAGGGTTTGCCGCGCATAACACGCCTCGAGCGACGAATGTGGCAGATAACGACTGTCCTGCCTGCCTCCTGTCATCGAAACCTGCCGATTTGCACATCTGCTCATTCTATAAATCAGCTTCAACCTTTCAGTGCTACAGAAGAATATGTTTCAGGTTCTTAAGTCACCAGATGGAACCTTTTATCAGAATGACGAAGGATGCGCGTATCGTCGTCGTCATGGCTCAAACAAAATGATCATTATCAACGATATCGTGAAGCTCATGAACAATGGACCCGTGCCTCGGTATTTGGAACACCTCTCACTTTGAAAGCCCACGTCATCGTAACACGATGCTTTTCGTTATTCAAATTTTTTGTACAGAGGAATCGAGCTCTTCCTTAATGGGCTCAGCGAAAGAATCAATTTTGTCAGAAAATATAGCTTTATTATATCGCTATCATACATTTGAAATGTAGGAAAAGAAAGACCATCGTGACTACAGTGTAGCAGCACAGACTGTTACACGCTGGCTCTGCTGGTCATTTTGTTTAGTACTGTTTTTTTTCTGTTCATCGTTGCATGTATTTAAGTTGTGTGAAGAATAAACTTTATACGAATGCCCCTAGTCCAGTGGTCGGTAAAGTGTTTGAATCGGGACTACTATTTGTATTTGGACCATCAACTCCGATGTAAATAATTTTTTTTGAGGAGGGGGAGGTGGGGGTGGAGAAATGGAAGTGAGAAGAAAATCGCAGAAGTGTGAGTATTTTCCAGGTCGCTCCTTGCCATTTCAGTTGCAGGAAACTCATGAGGCAAGGTGAAGTCGGTTGGTGAGGCTATGACCTGACTGAAAGTGACTGGAGACAGCGCGTGATGACAGTGCGGCTTACCTCTTCTGAAAGCGGTTGAGTATGTGGACAAGAATGGTCAAAAAGGTTGGTTCGTTATGCCAGAAAGCTCCAAGGTTATGTCCTCATAGACTATGTAAATGACTTGCAACGTCCCAATAAGAGTGCTGACTTTGCAGATTTTTTTTGAAGTTGCAATGTCGTTGACGGTTTTTGCTGAGACCAAGCGTACCTTGTTATCTTCGAAGGTGTAGTGCCCATCACTCTCTCAACGATTTCCGTGCACTCTTCTTTCTTCCACTATCTCATTATTCTTATCATTTAACAATGCCCACCGCTTCTTAATACACGCGCTTAAGAGCTCGTAAAGGCTGTACCATAATTTCAACTAGATGGAGTTTTCAATCTCAGAATTTCCACTTTTTGAGGCTATTTGCTGGATCTTCTTCAGCTACACTTCTTCACACACATACAGTGCCATTCATACCTATTTTTCAAATATTGTTTCCACTGCTGAAATGCTTGTATGCCCGGAGCGATGCGCTTTTTTCAATGTCAGTGACGCCGGTTCACAACTGAACTGTTTCTAACCTAATGTAAAAGCGTACTTTAACCGTTTATATGATGCGAATCTGACGTAAGGTTCGCATTGCACCTGAAACGGAAAAGCAAGTTAGCGCAGCAATCAGCACCATTACTCCTGTTTTATGATATTCCCAGAGCTTTCGAATTATTGAACGTTTTTTTGTGTACTGGTAATCGGGGGCTGCTGTTCAAGCCCGCAATCCGATACAGCTGCAAAACATCCTCGTCGTATTCATCAATGCTTGGGAATTTCAAAATTCGAAACTTTATTGTATATCCAAAAATATAGTTGCCGTGAGAAGAGCCGCAGTAGTCGCAACTGTGTACCGCACTTTGTGGAGTCTTCAGGGAAGGCAAAAGCAATGTGACTGACCTGTATGCTTCCGCAAGTCACATTCTGCACCAAACACCCGTTCAACACATCGAAATTGACTACCGTTACGTTCATACCTGTAAATATCCTTCTTGCACACGTATTCAAGAACCTAGAGCATCCCAAATCGCGATTACGAGCATGTAATCTTTCCAGCTTTTGTGGTGGGCATGCTGCCCATAGGCCTTAAGAACAAAAGCATTATCAGCAACGGTACGACGACAACAACATCCTTAACCGCTTTCTCGATCCTTTCATGACTGGCGGTGTGTTACAGCATTTTGTATTAAGAATACTAATGAAGAGTGTGCCTCATATATGCATGAATGGTATGATTTCTTATGTAATCCTGAAACATTTGTTTGCCCTGTACTTTATGTCGTTTGGTAAAGAGTACTCAGTCTTCGCTTATTCACAAACGCTCTACGCGTTCATAGTGGAACTTCTGGTTTCCAACGAACCCACTGAAGTTGAATTTATACAGTGAGAAACTGAGAACTGGCTCTTAGTGTCTATACATTGCAGAGCAATCTCAGAGGACGGAGTCAGCTATGTCCTCAGCCGCGAATCGGCTTGGGTGGGGTTTGACGCTCTCCGTGGTGGACGTAGCAGGTTGCTTGCTCTGCGCCCTGTTACATGGTACTGCACCATCATGGTCCAATATCACATCGCAGTTCAAGTCGTTTTCCTTCTTCACAAGGTAATAATCGTTGTGATGTGTAATGGACATTTTCCAAGGTTCTTTAATTCCTATACGAGTCCTGTCCACTAGGCAGTTTGAACAGCAGGCGGTAGTTCATGACATATATTCTAATTGAAGAAAAAAGGAAAGGTGACGAAGGTGTTTGTTGCTCGGAACCCGATCTGATTGATGTAACCAGGCGTAACGATGATCACTGTAATCCAAATAGCATTTTAAGCACTGTGATCTTGTCCCTTGTCGTGCAGTGCGTGTGGTTCTATGGCTGTTACCTGCTGTGTTCCACAAAACAGGTCGAGCTGATCACTTGCCTCAGCTGAAGCAGGTATCCTTCTTGGGGTTCAGTAGAGTTCATTAGAATAAAAAGATTTATACGCATTAAGGTCATTTTTTGCACGTCGCTGTTAATGTATGCAGCGAGCCCCACAAAACTATTATTGCTTACGGAAAAGCTCAGTCCAGGTAAGCCCCTTTGCTTTTACACGTACCTGCTCTAATTTGAACTGCTTGTTTCACCGCATCGAGAGCGTAGGGCAGCGGCGTTCAGACTCGAAATGACGCACGTCCACGCGCTGTAACGCAATGTAACGCGCTTCAATTGCAGCAGCGCTTCATATAGACGCGAACGCGGCCGCAGGGGAATTGACTGGTCTCTATCAGCAGAGACTTCCAGTGGGCTTGTTTCACTCGTTTTCTCCCACCTTGTCAGCTATGAAGCCGAATCTTTATTTCGGTCAATTTGCCCTCTACTTGTGCTTCACTCCTTTTCTTTCTGTGGTAGTCTTCACCGCTCTTATTACTGTCGTGGTTTCTTTATTTGTTACCTCACACTGTGTAGTTTTATCATATTTTGTTCTCCCTCGTGAGGTACCATTAAACTTTTGTGTTCTAATGCAGATTCTGCTCACCGCTCTTTGTTATTATTTTCTTTGCTTACTTTGTGTTCACAAAATTTATACTGACGTTAGGGAAATGACAGGATTCGAGAAAATCAACAGCTTTTAAAAGTTGAACGTTGTATTTACTCTTAAGTCTACTCCTCACGCACTTTTGAGCTCTTCTAATTTTCTGTATTCCCCCTGATTTTTTGTTTTCTGTCACAAATCAATCCCTTTTTCCTTACCCCTCTTACTTTTCTCCGTGATCATATGTACATTTGACGTCTCCTTGTTGTGCGGAATGTCTTTATAATTGTTTCTGTGTCATTCACGTTCCCATTCACATTCTTACTCACTTGGTATAAAGGCACAGGACATGTCATGCAATACAAGATTAAAAGTAAGCGTCTAAAGCGTCCTTGATTCGGTTTGGAAGTGGGTATCTTGGGGATGACGTGAAGAGACTGTAAACCAGCGCTCCAGCCTCCCCTTCAACGCAAGTGCCTTCCATGACACTTGTTGCCAGCTGTGGTGACTTGTAGTAAGCGTAAACTGAGGGTAAAAGGGTAAAAGGATCGTTGTGATCAGATTAGGCACTTCAGGCCCCCTGTTTTTACCGTTTTTCTCTGTAATTCTCTATTTCATTGCAAATTTTAGGAATATACCTGCCAGTCGGTGATTACGCATTTCTCGTGTGGAACGTTTTCGCTGCTTTCCTTTTAGACCTGTCCTGGAAGACGTACTTCAGCTATCCTCCATCCAGTTATGTGCTACTTGAACACGACGAGGTGAGCAGAAGTTGTGCATTTGTTGTTGTTTATTGAAGTGATCCACGTAATTATGGAAACATATATTTCTGTTAACTACTGGGTTGACTGTTGCTTCGTAGCACGCTCCAGAAAATGTTGCTACTGGTC